ACCAAAAACTGGGGGTGATCTCAGGTGCTCCGGAAGGGTAAGCAGATCCTGCTCCACATGTGGCACCCGTCGAGTTGCTTATGTTATTACAAATCCGATCATATATTTGTTAATCTTTTGATTTGTTTTTACCAAAACATTTTTTTTAAATAGTGATTTAATTTAGAACAGACTTTTTTTAAAAGGTAGATCCTAAATACACTGAATCTGATAAATGACAAAATCTATATTTGATATATTAATGATCTATTCAACAAGGTCCAATTTTTATTTAACAATTTAAGACATCTAATTTGAAACCAGACAAAAATGATGGTCCCAATGCATACATAAAGATAGTTCCACAAACATTGTACTAGTATTTCGAAAACAGCTATATAAATTATAATTTGATATGATTCAAATAAATGTTATGCCCCTATATCAAATATTTTGTCATTTGTGAAAAGTTTTAAGAAAATCAAATTCCACATAATAGTCACGCCAGTAATATTCATAATAATGCCTGTATAAAAATAAAGTTTTTTGTTTGTTAACTGTAGGAGACGATACCCGGAAAACTATCCACCCTGTATGCATAGGTTCACCAAAAAAGACAATTAAATTAAGAATACTGTCATTTGCCTAAATTTTTAGGAAAACTCAAACCCGTGATATTTATATGCACACCTTATAAATATGAACAAACACTCCAGATAATATAAAAGTGCAAGCTTAAAAACAGTAGACCATGTAGACGGAAACCGCCGTAATCATGTAACCTGCATGCCTAATAATTACAGAAAATGAAAAAAGTTCAACACCCTATCATTTATTGAATATTTTACGAAAATCAACAACGTGATTAAACATGTGATATGCACACTTTTAGTTCAACAACCTGTCGTTTGTGGAGAATTAAAAAAAATCAAAATACTGATAATAAGCTCATTTTTTACAGATCTACGAACTTTAGGAGTTAGCTAGAAACTCGAATGGACAGGAGTTAAACAACGTGAACCCGACACTTTGTTTCGGGTCATAAGCAAATATTTTATAACATCAGTAGTTATCAGTTTTTTTTATTATTGACTTTTGATTGATACAATTCAGAAGGGAACGTTGATAGGTTAAATCAATAGTTGTTTGTGGACAGGGTTTATCCTTAATTGATTCATCAATTCCCAAGTTGTTAAGTTAATTTACCAATAAAGGAATAAGTATCTACATCTACTTTGATAGCAATTACAAGTTGTATTTTAAATGCAGATGAAATGGACATAATATGATATTTATTCTTGAAAGAAGACATGAATTGTCATGTTTGCATAATAAATTGAACCGAAGAACTTGTAAGGGCCTTAATAAATTTGGGACACACAAAATATTCTTATGTTAGATTAGAATCTTGAAAATTATATTTCATATGTGTTGTTTTTCTTCTATTCATTTGACATCAGAATATAAAAGTTTTAAATATTCCTTGCATACATATCTCAATATTAGGACACATGTTTGCTAAAATTAAAAAGTTGTTTAAATCTTCGTTTTTTTTATTGAATTGATAAAACTCGTTAATAATCTGATAACTATTTATAGATTAGTAAATGTATAGAATGAGAGGCAAAAGATTACAAAGGGACATTCAACCCCATAAGTCGAAAATAAGCTGACAACGCAATGGCTACAAAGGAAAAAATAACAACAGACAAACAACAGTACACAAAAGATAACTGAAAACTGAACAACACGAACCCCACCAAAAATTGGGGTGATCTCAGGTGTTCCGAAAAGGCAAGCAGATTCTGCACCACATGTGGCACACATCTTGTTGACTGTATAAGTACAAACCCGGTAATAAGTTTTATTCGGTAGGTCACATTCGAATAAAGAAAGGGACGGAATTGTGGTTACGACAATTGGAACATATCTGTCGTGATCTGAAATTGGCAGGAAAAGTCTCGCGAGTAAAACGAGTTATTTCACATGCGGGATCTAAAATTCATATAAATTACCATCATCTATAAAATAAAGAACACGTATTCTAAAACAAAATCATGAACAAAAGCTGCTTCCCTGCTATACAAATGTCAAGAAACTAGAGGAGTAAATATAAACAATGAGCACTTATTAATATTTCAAACTTTTAATAATTGTGTCTAGATCATTGATCACAGCCTGTAGTAGGTTGTTTATTTCTTTAAAAGTTTATTTATCCAAGTATCTAACAAACATATCATGCGAAGCGTAACGTTTAAAAATGACGGTGCATTTATTGATTTTGATAAAAATGGAGATATTTATATATTTGAGATCCGGATTGTATGGTTTATCTCCCTATACACCTATAAAACGAAATTTCTACATTCTGCGAGTTTTTGTCAGTACTATACTAGTTGGACATCGGAAGTTCGAAAAACAATAATCTTGTAATGTTGTATCGCCATTATGTTTCAGATATTACTACTTTAAAATAACTGTTATCAAAACTATCTTAGTCAATACTATGCTTATTAATTTATTTTTATTTCAATTCAATCTTTGAATGGTACTCAACAAACCAAGCATTACAGAATTTGGGATATTACAGAATAAAAAAAAGCATGGTCTATGTCCAATACAAATATTGTAAATGATTTCTTTGTTTCGGGTCATAAGCAGATATTTTATAACATCAGTAGTTATCGGTATAAGATAAATAACAAGTATTATAAAACAAATTCATGAACAAAAGCCGCTTTCCTGCTATACAAATGTCAAGAAACTAGAGGAGTAAATATAAAAAATGAGCACATATTAATATTTTAAACTTTTAATAATTTTGTCTAGATGATTGATCACAGCCTGTAGTAGGTTGTTTATTTCTTTAAAAGTTTATTTATCCCAGTATCTAACAAACATATCATGCGAAGCGTAGCGTTTAAAAATGACGGTGCATTTATTATAATGAAGCAATTTTAATGATTTTATCTATTAAAACTCTATAGTGCAGATAATTTTGGATTTCAAACACTTCGAAAGCTTGTTAATAAATGAATGCAGAATAAAGTAATTTCAAATTAAAAAAAAATACGTAAAACGTCTCCAGTACTTGTGAACTTTTCAGTAAAGAATATAACCAAGGTAAAGTACTTCACCTTCTCAACAAATACTTCGAAACGACCATTAAATACCAGAGGAAATGGAAGGAACTATCGAAAAACAATCTTTAATTTGAAGCGTTTGTTTTACTTTAAATATATGTATTATTTTTACCTGGCTTCAACTTATGAAGTAAAATATATTTTAAATCTAACATGCTAACACAACAACGACTTATTTGGACTTCTATGATAAATGTCTAATATTTTTCTGATCTTTCTGTTTACTTAAATATAGCTATTTCGATGATTGGTCTCCTTTTAATTCCTCTCATATCTCCACGTCTATCGACTTTCATTAATTGACTGAACTTAACACAAACACATCGTCGTGTGATTCTTATAATGATCTATGTCGACTTTTGATAAAAATTAAGATATTTATATATTTGAGATCCGGATAGTATGATTTATCTCCCTATACAACTGTAAAACGAAATTTTTGCATTCTGCGAGTTTTTGTCAGAACTATACTAGTTGGATATCGGAAGTTCGAAAAAAAAATAATCTTGTAGTGTTGTATCGCCACAATTTTCTGATATTACTGCTTTGAAATAATTGTTATCAAAATTATCTTAGTCAATACTATGCTTATTATTTTATTTTTATTTCAACTCAATCTTTGAATCATACTCAACAAACCAAGCATTACAGAATTTAAGAAATTCATGGTCTATCTCCAATACAAATATTGTAAATGATTTCTGAAAGAGTATTTTGTATTGTATTTTTTCATCTCAAGAAAAGTTAATTTAGATGGTTGTTTATTCAAAAACAATTGGACTAAACGTTGCTCTTCAAGTCCATAAATTCGATTGCTACTAAACCTAAGTCAAAAATATATGATATTGCACTTCTAAAATATTCAATTTCCTAACGTATAGAAAAATGGGATTAACATACTTATAACATTTACACGATCCATTCTCTCAATGATACTTGCATTCTTATGGACACTCATATACTTTACATATTTATGAAGGCAATAGCGCTGAAAAGTATGTATAATTGGACACAAATTTATGTTGAAATGTTTAATAAAAACTAAAACTTAAAAAGTACGTTAAGTTTTCAAGAATATATTTTTTTAATTGTTAAAGTTCTAACAATGCGGTTGATTTTATAATTTTACAACAGAATATTGTAGTATTCGTTAAAATATTTTTTCGTGACATTTTAAGAACTGTATAACCTTCACTTATACTGTAAATTAGTAACGATTTGTCCTTTTCACTTGGACATTTGATGAGTTTTCTACTTCCTTATTTCATTTTCTCACGGCTAAAGGCAAGCTTTGGTACAATTTTTACTCAAACGAGTATTTCTTAATATAAAGTACTTGAAAAAAGATGTAATCATATTCAAATACAATAACCCTAAAAATCGTAAGGCTACATTCATGAATGTGTATAACTGAATTCTTATTATTTGCTGTTCCTGTGTTACACATGCATTGTATGATGGATAAATTGTTAGTATAAAATCATTGGTGAGGTTTTAAAAAGAATTTAGTACCTGTATAGCATTTTAAACTGATATTTGATAACTATTAATTAGAAAAAATGGGATGTATAATTCACCAATTCTGAAAATCATCCAGACTTTCAATTCGGTATGTTTACTAAATGTGACGTAACATTCATAGTAAACGGCGTCTTTCTTACAACTACCTTATATATTTCAAACGGTTGTTTGACAAATTTAACCTTTTTGTTATTCAAATATGTTGCTTTTTTATCTATTTGTTGAAATATGAAGATTATGTTGCACATACACACTACCTGGAGTGGAATGGTAACATTTAGTATTTTTTGACAACACATTCACCACTTATCTTTTATTTAACATAATACCACTTAACGTTCAATTGGTTTTTTGCAGGGATATTGTATGAGACAATGCACCGTACACTCGTCTTTATTATATTCATTGTACAAAGTACAATCAATGGGTGTCCACTTGAATGCCGTTGCACGGACACGACGGTTGATTGCAGCAATAGCAATCTAATGACAATTCCGTCTGACATTTCTAATTCGACAACCAAATTGTGAGTAGTAACATTTTAGTTTTTAGTTTAATTATATAGTTATATGATATAATATAAACAATGCTATTAGTTTCAGTGCACGTAACTCATATTTTTGACATGCGCTCTTTAAAAAAAATATATTGATTATTCCGAAACTAAACGTTTAAATATTCAAATGAGGGGGATATACCAATGAGCAATCAAAATCATGAGGCGATAAAATCAGACAACGCAATGACAAAACAATGCGACGAATAGACAAACAACCCTCTACAAAATCTACACAAAATAAAAGGCCATTAGCTACCAAATTCATGTTCACCGATTTGACTCGAATTCTCATATTTGATTTATAACATACTAAAACTTATATCATCATTTTGTGTGTATTTTGAGTCTGAACGCCATCTAATTAACCATCGAGATGACCTCCGAAGATTGTTTGATTTCATTGCTATGGGTTAAAAAATAAGTTAATCAACGTTTTTACCTCTATAAGAATAACTTTTTGTGGATCGAATCAGTCAACGGAATGGTTCACCTTTGTTTCACTTTCAATGTTGACATTCATTTCCTTTTAATGGCTGAACATGACTAATACATGCATAACCAATCTCCAGCAAATAGGTTATATTGAAGGTCACACATGAATACGGATTCGATGAGGTCGAATTATTCACTTGCAAGTGAATTATTCATCTACGATGTTTCCTCGCTTATTTTGACAAAATTGAACCAAACTGGCTGCTAAAGCGAATTATTATTCCACTTTTTCACTTTCATTAATGATTGAACAACAAAAAAAATCATATTTTAATTTTTTTTTTATCACGTTGCTAATGCCCCTTTAAGATTTCCCAACCAAAAACAATGATGAAGGGTAAGAGGTTTCTGGTCTCACTGGTACAAATTTGTTTGGAAACCGGGACATCGGTGCGACATGTGTGATGAAGTCTTAATCAACTGAAATGTCAGCAAGAGAAATACACTTTTTTCGTATCTTCTGTCGCCTTTCTTATAGTGATTGTAGGCATTTAAGATCTGATAAGACATGTTAAAATAACCAAGAATTATTGTCCATGCATTCGATTCAGATACGTTCAGAACCTCTCAGACATAATCTTCTTTTTTTTAATAGTTTTCAGCTCATGTTCATTCGCGTTCTGTATGCATGAATGTTACTAGGAGCTACGTCCTTTAGGGTTGAAGAAGTTTTAAATCATATTTGTCAATAAATGTATTATATATAAATGTTCTTATAAACTAAAGGTACATTGTTGTTTATCTATATCTTTATAGGGAAGTTTAATACTAAAATTTACGATAAAAGAGATGATTATTCATTCCTATTGTTAATAATCCGTTTGTAGATGGTGACGTTCCCTCGGCACCATCTTATGGTGTTAATGTATCTCATCTAGGTCGATTCACTTGTGTATGTAACAACTTATTTGATTTTAAAGAAAGAAACATCTGTAATACTAAAAAATCATTACACCAGTGTTTTTGACATGTTTGAATATCAAAAACTTGTTAACACTTTTACTTAATTCTATCATCGGTATAAGGACATCATTCGAAAATATAAATAAATTGCAGACATCTTATACTTTCAGGTATTTAATTTCTCATCATTTATGGTAATATTCTATACAGAGCACAAAAATGTCGTCATTTACATCAAAAGCTAACCAAACCTTTAAATAGACTTATTCAGAAGGAGTATACTTACGATACTGTTGACAAGTCATTAACGATGGCAATTTTTGGAATCAATATTGATTCACTTATAGGGTCTTTGCATCGGAAATAAACACATTTATTCTAAAAAGCAGTTGTCGGCATGATACGGGTTACAATCTCCTCGTATGGTTTATGATGGTATGATACTTAACCCCTAACGGGAGGGATTGTGCTTGATTTTCATATGATGAAGACAATAAATATTTCAATCAGTTTAATTGAGGTCTGGAGCTGGCATGTTTATAACTGCTAGTAGTCGTATGTTAATTTATGTTATCGTCTTCATTTTGCCTAGTTTCTATTGTTACCTATTCTAACAACGGACTTGGACTTCCTTTGAACTAAGTTTTACTAGCTGTGCGTTTTCCTGTGTGTTTGTTTATTTCACATTGGCTAGAGGTATGGGAAAGGGTGGAGATCTCACAAAACATGTTTAACCCCGTCGCTTTTATGCGCCTGTCCTAAGTCAGAAACCTCTATCTTTTTTTCGGACGCCATCACGAGTTGGTTGAACGTCATGGAATAACCGTTTCACAGATGATTTCACGGATATGTTCCTTATGTCGTAACTACAATACCCTCCCTTTTCACGAATGTGACTTACCAAATTAGACTATTTACCGGATTTGTAATAACATAAGCAACACGACGGGTGCCACATGTGGAGCAGGATCTGCTTACCCTTCCGGAGCACCTGAGATCACCCCCAGTTTTTAGTGGGGTTCGTGTTGTTTAATCTTTGGTTTTCTATGTTGTGTCATCTGTACTATTATTTGTCCGTTTGTCTTTTTATTTTTGGCCATGGCGTTGTCAGTTTGTTTTCGATCTATGAGTTTGAGTGTCCCTCTGGTATCTTTTGTCCCTCTTTTGTTAGTCTTGTTTCTTGTGTCAAAACGTAAAGCCCTTTATAAAAAAAGCCCAAACATATCAAACGAATAGAAAACAACTGTCATATTCGTGACTTGGTACAGGCATTTCCTATTGGAGAAAATGGTGGATTAAACCTGATTTTATAGCTAGCTAAACATCTCACTTCAAATGGGCATACAGCCGTCAGCATTGTAATATAATCATAATCACAACAAAAACAAAGAACTACTTCAACAAAGACAAATTTATTTCTGCTGATTATTAAGTTCGTTATTGACCCGTGAACTCAGTTATTCCATAATAAAATTAAGAATGGAAACGGGGAATGTGTCAAAGAGACAACAACCCGACCAAAGAGCTCCTAAACAAACATGTGTACTAGTTCAGTGAAAATGGACGTCATACTAAACTCCAAAACATATATTTGAACTAAAATAAAAAATTATACTAGACTAACAAAGGCCAGAGGCTCCTGACTTGGGACAGGCGTAAAAATGCGGCTGGGTTAAACATGTTTTTGTGAGATCTCAACCATCCCCCTATACCTCTAGCCCATGTAGAAAAAACAAACACACAGCAATACGCACAGTAAAACTCGGTTTAAAAAAAGTCCGAGTCCGATAGTGCATTTCTTTTATACAATAATTACAAATTAAAAATATCACAAAAGCTGTATTTTAAAAAGGTTTTTACTGTGTAGTGTATTACTCTTTGGACAAACTGTATCAAAGTTATAGAAAAATCTGCCAGCTCTAACTCAAAATATGGACAATCCTATGAAAAGGATGTCTATAAACGGCCGTTTGTTTGCGATGTTTAAATACGCAGACTCTGTTGTAACTACTTTACCGTTGTCAAATTTGAAATTTTACAAATTTAGATCGTTCAGTGCTGTTTATTTGGAATTCTTATTGACGCAATCGTTCTTGTAACTGTCGTCACCGTTAAAGCTTTAGAATTGTGCTAGTTCATATCGCACATTATTATTTCTATTTAAAGCATATATTTGAACTCTCTGTTGTAATTAGTCATATAACCTATGTCGTGTTTAACACATATTTAGAATTGTGCAAGCGTCTTACCTGATGTTCGGTTTAACTTTTTTATTGTATAAATTTCAAGATTGTTATAGTTTAATCTAAGTAGACTGATATATGATTCATTCAACATCACGATCATATTTACTGATGAAGGATATCTGTTATCCGAAATATTTATAAATAATTACATTTATAGTTCCTTTTTTTGTTATTGGTGTTGTTGTGTACACTTTTAAGGCGTTTATACAATTTATTTATTGTGTACATGTATCGTTACTCGTAACGATCCAGCGCCCTCGTGGGAAAAATCGTTGACTATTATTCAGACGTTTTATATATATATATATATATATACATTGCCTAACAATGTAATTTTAACACACTATTTAGTATGTAAATATAAGAATGTTTAAAATATTTACAAAATGATGAAAATAAACGCAATATTTCGCTAGACTAACTAGCTTTATCAAGCGTGCATCTATCCAGGTGAAATCGGATGTAGATGATAAGAAACTTTTGCAGCTTAATGTATATGTTGCACTTGAATTTAGCTGCCTTGAATATAATTTTTTTACATAATTTTGACGAAGTTCAAGATTTTTACAAAATAGTTAGTTGAAGTTAGCAACGTCCATTGGTCAATATTACAGGATAAAAAGGACGATGCAGTGTACTAAATTATTCTTTATCTTTCCTGTATCTTTTCTCATCTTTTTCGTTAAGACCATCAGGTTCTAAAGTGTGGAGTTGGTGGATCCAAAAATTTTCTCTTCTCCTTCTCGCCGTAGTGTCCCACTCGGTGTTGACTTCTATGATTTGGAAATAAACTTTTAAATATTTTAAACATTCTTATATTTACATATTAAATAGTGTGTTAAAATTACATTGTTAGGCAATCTATAATTTTATTTGTGTAATTGAATTAATCTCTGTACTGATTAATCCACACTCCCATAGATTTGTATGTCATGTGCTGCTATTTGTAGGCACTTATATATACATCCATGCCTGAGAAATAGTTTCAAGACCATTCGTGATCATTGGACAGCAATCGAGAAACATTCTAAGTTATCCAAAATCTTTCTTGAGCCTCCCATGATTGCCTTCAAACAACCTAACAGCCTGAGAAATATACTTGTCCGTGCTGACCTTTCCAAACCTAACCATACTGTAGGTAATTGCCAGCCTTGTGGGGATAAGCGCTGCAAATGTTGCAACCAATTGCAGCATTCATCAACATTTCACAGTAAGACCACAGAAAATACATACAAGATCTTCTGCAATGTCAACTGCAAAAGCTCAAACGTGATTTACGTTCTTGAGTGTCCTATATGTGGTCTCCAATATGTTGGTGAATCTATGCAGCCATTTCACAAACGCCTTAATGGCCACAGGAGTGACCTCACAAAAAAAACCGTATATTCCTGTCAGCCAACACTTCAGGTTACAAGATCACAATCTGAAAGATTTTGATCACATGAAGATCCTTGTGATCGAACAGGATTGTACATGGCACAATAAGCAAAGAGAGAATCGGGAGAAGTTTTGGATAAAAACACTGGGTGTCCTCCATCCAGATGGAATCAATAGAAAGAAATAATTAAATTTACAGTCTAATGTTTATATTATGATATTCAGGATTTTGGATTAAAATCAATCGACCAAAACTTACCTGTATTATTACTGATCTATGTTTACACCTTATACATTATATATCAGTATTGTTAAAACTTTTAACACTGATGAAGGCCATTTGTTGAGCCGAATTATTTGCAATTATTGTATAATTTATATCATCTGTTCAGTTTTTCCATCTTTGTGCGATGATATTCAGCACATTTTAGTGTTTTGTTTTCCATCTATTTATCGGTATTGTTACACAATCTTTTTAGACTCATATATATATAAATATATGTTTATATATATAAACGCCTGAAAAGTGTACAAAACAACACCAATAACAAAAAAAGAAAACTATAAATGTAATTATTTATAAATATTTCGGATAACAGATATCCTTCATCAGTATGATTATGACTAGCAGGTCAATATATATATCAGTGCAATATAAATTGAACATGAATTATTATTAATCATTAATGCAGCCAAGAAATATTTATATATTAAAACGCATGAAAAACTTAGCTTCTTCTGTCCTCAGTTCTAATGACTGTTTTAAAAAATAGCCGATTAGTTTCACATGTTCTATTGATATAGGGTTTGATAATTTAATATTTTTTTGGTCTTTTGAAAGTGACATAAATTCATCTTCCTATTTTAATTTTTTAAACATGTTAAACACATCCAACATTAATTTATTATTTATACTACACTCCAAGAGGAAATGTTCCTCGTTTTCAAGAACATTGCATAGTTTGCAAAGTCTATCTTCTCGATAAATATTTTAAATATCTACCCTTTTGAATTTTAAGATTGTGGTCACATATGCGGAGTTTGGTGAAACACTTTTTTCTAATAAAATCGTTGTACCATATGTAAAATTAAAGCCAAAATTGTCAATTCAACTTTGAACGTTGTGTGTTTATTTTTGACGGTTATATCGAATAATTTCAACTATCACGATTTGGGTCTAAGAAAATTAAGTATTTCAAAACTTTGCTTTTTTCAATGTCATTTTATATAACATATCGGGTATTTAAAGCAAATGACCAGTCATTTGATGTATCAGATTTATTACATGATTCAAAAGTTTGAAAAATCAATATTAGGCTGTGTCTGAAAATAATGATTTTGGAACGAATCGAGGCCTAATATGAACATGCAATATTTTCTTCCAATGTAACATTTCTGGAGTTGTTTCGTAATAGATAATTCTTTCAGACATTTTAATGTACTTTGGTTGGAAAGGAAAGTTACACATATCATACCACATGACTATAAAATGGTCTTAAGCCGTGTCAAACTGAAATTATGTTTGGTCAATTTAGGCCTTAATACATATTTATATATACAAATGCATACAGAAGATATATTTGTTACTTTGTTCTAATTTCTATGCTGAGATGTCATGATACAAAAAGTATGAATGCAGAAGGACTCTTGCATTCAACTTTTATTGCAGACAGTATGGTCTGATGAAATTTTGTATACCTTTCAGTGGAAAACTTGCATTTAATTTTATTCGTAACAGACATGTATGTAAACCAAGTACTATCCAACAAAACAAAATCCAAGTAGTACAATGTATATGAAATGACACAGGTAAATAAAGGCAAAAGTATTATACCGCTGTTCAATAGTCATAATTCGATTAAGCAAAAACAAATGCGGGTTACAAACTAAAACCGAGTGAAACACATGCATCAACTATAGGAGGAAAACAACGGAACAACAGAAACACTGAACTACAACAAAAGCAAATGCCAACATACATAGAAACGGACTGTAAATAACAACTGCCATATTCCTGACTTGGTACAGGACATTTTAAGAAAAAATGGTGGGTTGAACCTGGGTTTATGGCTAGCCATACCTCCCGCTTATATGACAATGTTAAAAATACTGCTAAAATGATAACACTACGTGACAGGAATATATCAGGTACAATCACCATTGTAAAGGGATTTTTTTTTTACAGATTTATTAGAATATTTGTGATGGACTTCAACTTTTATGTACAATGCTCTTCACGTTTCATTAGCATTAAACAAGACAGGTGACCAAAGCCCGTCATACAACATATTTTTCACATATTTTGTGATGATATAATTCCCTCTAAATTTAGAGTTCGCAAATAGTTCAGGAAACTTTAAATAAGCACAGAAACACAACTTCCAAACCTGTCTGATAGAAAATCAGCATGCCAATTAGGCATAAAAATGGAAATAGATATAAAATGCTTATTTTGCCCATAAAATACGAAAATGGGATATTTATACAGAATTTCTAAAAAAAAAAGTAGAATGAAATCCTTTACTTTCACAGAATTTCTCCCTCATGCTCGAGCACACAATTATCTCGTAGTGCATTTTTTTTTAAAGAAAATAAATACAAATTTTAGAAATTGCAACTTCTCTATTTATAGTGTAGAGGACTACTTTCGGGAAAAATTATATGAAATTTACAAAAATATATACCCGCTCTAAATGTAATGATTTAAACTTTCATTAGAAATTTAAATGACATAATCAATATAGGGGTAAATTCAGTAAATAAATATATGTCATCAGGGACCGCCCATTTGGGGGAGAGCTTTCTGTACAAAACTGAAGTCCTGTGCTCTTCTGATTGGTAGATAATGTTTGTAATAAATATTTTTTGATAGATGGATCAAAACTAGAGTTTAAAAAAATAAAAAAATGAATGCTGAATGTACTAATTTTTTTTACTACAGGGTTGAAAAGTAATAGGGGTCAGTAAAGGAATTAAGTGCGAATCTACATTGTTTGTAAACAAGGCCATGTGAATGCCCAAAAATGCCGCATGACCCTATGTTTTTATTGTTGCAAAAGATAGTGCTACATTTGTACTTTCATGAATGATATATGAAAGCTTCCAATTTCTAAAGGTAAATAAGGTATAAATTTAATTCAAGACATAGATTAGCATTAAAGTCAATGGGAGATTTTTAACTGAATTTACCCCTATAGCTGTCAATCAAGCAAATCAATCAAGCTGTTTAAAAAAAATTAATTCCTTGCATAAAGATGTCTTTAGTTAATTAACCAACATGACAACTTTTCGTTGACCTAATGGTTGTATTTTGTAAATACAGCTGTTTCACAAACCACGCCTCTTTTGGGGAGATATATAATATTCATCGATATTTTTTTATTTACCTACTGATTCCCAGATATGAGCCCTATATTTTATCTCGTAGACACAACTTGTGAATGTTATTAGTATAAATACACATGGACAGCGACCAAATTGAATTCTGAGGAAGACCCAAAGTGAAGGGAGGGGTAAGACAGAATTTTAAAATAAGTTTAAACTCTTAGAATTTCGAGGCATATACATGTTGAAAATATGCTGCACAGCCGTGGCTTGTATGAACATCGGTAAATTACATTTGCCTATAATCAAAGTTGTTAATTAAGTGTCGTCATGGTCAAACTTATATGATATTTATCAAAACGGCTTTCTTAGTATAAAATATATTAAACATTACCATTAATTTGTTTCAGATATTTGCAAAACAACAAATTAACTACAATACAACAAGGAGCATTTCAAGACCTACTAGAGTTAAAAGATCTGTATGTATACAATGATACAACATTTTATCAAAAAGCAAATGAAAACAAAACCTTAAGTCAATCAGTGGCAGAGTATGTTTAGAACTATCATTCGCACGACTTTCTGGAGTTTTGCTTTTGAATGGAGTAACTATTGGTGATCCTTTTTGTTTGGCATTTAAATGTTGATTGCATCCATGGAATCCCGTCCCCTAACATTGTATTTTTTTTTTTTTTTTTGAAATTTGTATCATGTTTAATTCTGATATAAAGACGATGATTCAGATGCAGGGGTTCGAACCCTGGTGAGGGAAGAACCAAAATTTGCCAACGCTATTTTGCAGATCAAGCATTGTGGGGCTACATTTGAGAGGTAGCATAGGTAAATTATGGTGTTAGCCCTGTATAACCATAATTTCTCCGATGGCGAACGCCTATCGTAAAGTTGTCATATTTTATACAATAAAATTAAAATTTGATGTGACAGCAAGGTAAGTAAAATTATCATCATTTACGATAGACAAAACAACAACTGATCTGCAAGGTATGCCATCTACTTGACACTATGCATCAAGTACTGTGTCACTACTCTGGATAACGCCGACGAGGAAAGGCATTACGCAACCAACGAAAGCCATATTCTAAAGCCATATTATATATGGCCTAGTTAATCGAGTGGTCTTGGGAGCTAGATATAATGCAAGCGGTGTTAGAAAAATGTCTCAGATGCAGGGGTTCGAATCCCGCTAAGGAAAGAAAAAAAGTTTACTATCGCAAAATTGCAGATATAACATTGTAGGGCTAAATTTGAGACGAAGTATATGTAATTTATGGTGTTAGTCCGGTATAACCACAGGTAATCCGATAAGTCTGTCATCAGGATTTCACATATTTAGACGTATATATATATATATAGACCCCTCTACCAAGAAATTTGTTTTGCATGCACACGTATAAAAAATGGGGTTTTTATCCAACGCAATCATAGGATAGAACGTTGTTTTCAATTTAGACTTGTATATATATATATATAACGTTCTATCCTATGATTGCGTTGGATAAAAACCGCAATTTTTATACGTGTGCATGCAAAACAAATTTCTTGGTAGAGGGGTATAAATACAGCATAAACATCATTTTCCCAAAGACCAAATGAGTGAAAAAGTATATTTTAACAAAATGCATTTGACTAGCAGGTCGAACAACTGATGTTCTTAAACCCTGCTGACTCCCATTGGCGATTGCCAAATAAACGGATCACCGATGTAATAAATGGATCTCAATTATAAATTTAATACTAAACAGAAAACAATAAACTTGCGGAAAAGATGGTATACCGCAAACATATATATATATATATATATATTAAACAACTAAATGAACATACTCGAAAAAATATAATAATGATCAAATATTTTATTTCAAAAACATTTGTCAATGTTGCTTGTATGTACATCGTTAAAGACTTTTGCCTATAATTACAGTTGTTAATTGACTAGCGTCATATCATACAAATAACCTTATATGGAATATATCAAAATATATAAATGAAAATAAATGATTTCCTTACTGTAAAATATATTGAACATTAACATTACTCTGTTTCAGAAATTTGGATAATAATCAATTAACTGCAATACAGCAAGGAGCATTTCAAGACCTATCAGCGCTAAACACTCTGTATGTATACAATGCTACAATATTTTATCAAGAAGCACTTAAAAAACAAAATCTGAAGTCAATCAATGGCAAAGTATGTTTAGTATTATATATCGTAGTGAATTTCAGGGGTTTTGGGGACCCGTTTCGTCTGACTTGACAGCATTTACTAATTCTTTAGGTAATTCTTAGAAAAAGTAAAAGCAAAATACCGAACTCAAAGGAAAATTCAATACGGAGAATCCCTTATCAAATGGCAAAATCAAAAGTTCATACACTTCAATCGAATGGAAAACAACTGTCATATTCCTGACGTGGTACAGGCATTTTGTATGTATAAAAAGATGAATTAAACCTGGTTGTACAGGTAGCTAAACCTCTCGATGACCCATATGTATACACTACTGATTTCATTGTGGTAATTAACATGTGTTAACAAAACTTACAAATTTTAAGGATATTTAAACAAAATATTGCGATAAAGATTGCTTGTTTTTTTTTTCTTTAAATAAACGAGATAATGTTGTTCATTCTGTAAAAATGAAAATAAGTTATGTAATGGATTAAGCGACATAAACATTTGCAAAGGAAAAAATTGAATTGACACGGAAAAAATTTCGTAGATTCTTTTACAAATTCCAGGAATAAACTAAACGCATATAAGAATACTTCTATTTTACAATTGTTTATGCAAACTTTTACCAGAAGTTTACAACTACCACTACGTAATAAATACATATGTTATATTACAATCATACTGTAGCATTGTCAGATAAAAATTGTTTGAAAAGTTTTTATTTTCTTAAAGATCAAAAACATTTTGTAATTAAATGTCATTAGAATACATACATGATCCCTTGACAACAATCTTTTTGTCTTGACATTATATCTCATATAGCCCATAAACCTTTTACCTGATATATTGGCAATCAGAGTCTGGTGTATGTAGGGATATATTCTAGCACCGCTCCTCTGGTTTGCATTAATTCGTGTTCTACCTAATAAAAGGTCAAAACTCTGATAGAGACTTTCAATCCCAGTTAACCCCTGGTGTTTGAATGATATAATGACGTTTCACTCTCCAGATTTTTGTATTATATTTTGTTGACGTTTGTTCGTCAGTTAATCTTTTTATGGTGTTCTTCTTGCTCACTCTTCAGTTTTCTGGATTATATTATAATTTATAGACTAAATTATTTCGTGCTTGGTCTCATGCTAGGTCATTTTAAATTATTTGATTGCCTATCTATTTCAATGCATTAGAATTTTTACATTTAGATCGGATTTTAAATCAGCTGATCAATCAGTTTCTGATTCCAGACAATTCAACATTAGCTGACCAACACTAAACGACTGTTTTTGGCAAACTTAAATGAAAAGCTCAAACTATCAGAGTTCGTATAAAACTGAGCGAAAGATGTGATAAATATTTTCTGTTGCCACATATAAAATTCAGGTTTTTTATAATCTATTATTAAAACAGACCTACCGATTTAGACTTATTTCCGGGTTTGTACTAACATGAGCAACACGATGGGTGCCACATGTGCAGCAGGATCTGCTTACCCTTCCGGATCACCTGAGATCATCCCCAGTTTTTGGTGGGGTTCGTGTTGCTCAATCTTTAGTTTTCTATGTTGTGTTTTTGTACTATTGTTTGTCTGTTGGTCTTTTTCTGTTTTAGCCATGGCCTTGTCAGTTTATTTTCGACTTATGAGTTTGAATGTCCCTCTGGTATCTTTTGCCTCTCTTTTAAGAATTTTAGAACTCAATCGACATATTAGGACTGTTTATAGAAACTTCATGGATAGCCAAGATAAATATGAAGCGTACATTACAACCTCTGACATTCTCTGATTTATGTCCACCCTCTAGTATGTTCAACATCAAGTTTGGCCAATTTTTGGGTACAAGATCTTGAGAAGTTGGCCATTTATTCAGGTAAAAAATCGGGATTGTTATTTTTAGCCTTTATGTTTCATTAGAGAATTTTTAAGTTTCAAACGAAAGGCTGGTGGTTGCTGGGGGTTGTAAGTTGAAAATATTTCTGACCCTGCTTTTGACTGAAATTAAATTAATTTCACAGTTGGTCAGCACCTTGAGTTAAAAAAAAAGAATGGGCCACATTTAGTCCATTATATATAATTTTGAAAACCAAACGTTTTTCTTATATAAACTTTATTTTGCCCGCAAAGATTGCCAAAACAATTCGTTCCGCATCAAAATCAACACCCCCAAACCCCCCCCGCCCCCCCCCCCCCCCCAAAAAAAAAATTAAATGGTCAGTGCCTAAATAACAAACTAGACAAGCTTGTGCGTTTAAATAAGGTTATTCCTTTTACAATCAAAAGTATTTGAATAAACCTTAGGCAGCAACCATTTTTTTGGAGGGGCTTCGATCACATTTGAAATAAACAGGCAGGACCCAAATATATCGTAAAACAAAATTTTGGATGAGTATTTTCAAAATCAAGCTGACGCATAAAACACAATTTTTTGGAAGGGGGCTTAAATCAATATGAAATAAAGAGGCAGGACCCGTTTCAATCTGATAATTGATTACAAGTGGGAAAACATCTTGGTGTCTCAAGTTTAATTTAAAATAAACGAGTATAATAACGTTTGTCTCATTATTGTATGACCTGATAACTAATAACTATTAGATACATCAAGGAAAGGGACAAACTGAACAATAATTTTGACATGGAAACGAAACTGAACTTAAAACCAACTAAAGATGTCAAAGCTGAAGATCAGGGTCATCACTTATGGAATTCTGCACATCAACTTCAGTTGACCACACGAAAGACCATGCAAGCTTACCATGTACTACAGATAAAAAAAAACATATAACTTATTCAGTGGCTGTACCAGGGGGTCTGGGGTTGGAAACCCTTTATTTTTTGGACAATTTGTAAAAATTACATGAAAATTATCGAAAAGTAGACAAAAATTAGCTTTTTTATTCTGGAATACCCTTTTTGAAATGCCTGAATCCACCCCTGTTATTAATCTATCACTTTCGTCGTCCGGTTTTGCTTTATATTCAAGTGTGTTGTAGTCTGGGTTATGCTGAAGCGGATCCAGTCTGATGACTTCCCAAATTTAAGCAATAGAAATTGAACTCTCCGTTAGAAAACGATAGGAATGTATGTCGTATATATTTACAATTGGATGCAAGTTTCTCAAAGTCATTTCAAGTACCTATTAGATGTTTTATTTTCATTGTAAGAACTATGCTTTTGTTAGAAACTGCGATTAAAGGTAATTTCAGAGGTAGTCTTTACTTTTGGACCTCCTTTGTGCATATACACGGATTTTCGCCACATTAAATATGCTGCTTCTTTAAGCT